CCTCTGCTGCGTCTGCTCTAGTCGCTGAGCTTGTTGACTTTGCTGCTGCCTGTCGTCTAGACTACGCCGCTAGCCTTGTTGCTGAGTCTGAGTCTGAGTCTGTCTGTCCTCCGTCTGTCGGGGGTGAGTGTGCTCTTGGCACGGACGTCCTTGAGGACAGACAGGAGGAGTTTGAGTGCTTTGCCGCTGCTTTGCCTCATCTCGTGTCCATGCTAGTTGCCCCTGAGGGAGACCCGGATGCACCAGACATCCCGACCCCACGCTCCTACGCAGAGGCGATGGAGGGTCCCTACTCCTCTCGGTGGCAGACAGCCATGGACGCAGAGATGGCTTCCTGGAAGTCCACAGGCACCTACGTCGACGAGGTTCCCCCACCTGGGGTGAACATCGTCAGTGGCATGTGGATTTTCAGGGTGACGCGGCCGCCGGGTTCTCCGCCTGTCTTCAAGGCGCGTTACGTTGCACGAGGCTTCAGTCAGCGAGAGGGAGTTGACTTCTTCCAGACCTTCTCCCCGACCCCGAAGATGACCACTCTTCGGGTTCTACTGCACGTCGCTGCTCAGCGTGACTACGAGCTCCACTCTCTTGACTTCAGCACTGCGTTCTTACAGGGCAGCCTGCACGAGGAGATCTGGCTGCGCCGCCCACCTGGCTTCACTGGGTCGTTCCCTCCTGGTACCCAGTGGAGCCTCCGGCGGCCAGTCTACGGTCTCCGCCAGGCACCCCGTGAGTGGCACGACACACTGAGGACTACTCTTGCTGCTCTTGGGTTTGCTCCTTCTACTGCTGACCCGTCGCTGTTTCTACGCACCGACACCACTCTGCCGCCGTTCTACGTTCTTGTTTACGTAGACGACTTGGTCTTTGCTACTGCTGACACTGAGGCACTCACATCCTAGCACGCTATGTCGCTCCCGGCCGTCACCGGAAGGAGCACATGGATGCCGCTAAGAGGGTGTTGCGCTACTTGTGCAGTACTTCGGGCACGGGGCTCGTGCTTGGAGGTCGGAGCGACGTTGTCCTCACGGGTCACTCAGACGCTTCTTGGGCTGACGACCAGGCTACGCAGCGGTCGTCTCAGGGTTACACCTTCAGCCTTGGCTCTGGTTCAGTTTCTTGGCGTTCTACTCGCTCTTCTTCTGTTCTCAGCTCCAGTTGTGAGGCTGAGATCTACGCCACAGCCATGGCTGCACAGGAGTTACGCTGGCTCACCTACCTGCTGACCGACCTGGGCGGCCTCGTTCTCCTCCAGTGCTGTACGTTGACAACAAGGCCGCCATTGCCTTGTGTGAGGAGCACAGACTGGAGCACAGGACGAAGCACATCGCTCTGCGCTACTTCCTTGCTCGAGAGCTGCAGCAGCGTGGTCAGCTTCGTCTGCGTTACGTGGCCACTCGGGCCAACACTGCTGATGTGTTCACCAAGGCGCTTCAGCCTTGTGACCATCAGCGTTTCTGTACTGTTCTAGGCCTTGTGCCTACTCTCCCTCACTTGCTCACTTCTTGACTCTGCTTGTACTGTGAGCTCTATATATATATACCTGCATGTTTACTCGTATTAGGTTGTGATCACTGTACCTCTTGTTATATTATCAAACTGCATGTGAACTGGTCTTGTGACCACTTGCTTGTGCTCGGAATTTGTGTGGTTTCCTTGAGATCCACCCTGAGCTTGCTTTGCTTTGCTTTGACTGGTCTTGTGACCATCTGGTTGTCTCCCACTTAGCCTATGGGGGTGTGTCAAACATTATACATGTTCATATTGTGTAGGCTATAGTGGGTTTAACCTTAGGGGGTACAACATTGCTAGGGTTTCCTACTTGTATCACCCTGCTGCCTAGTTTCACACATTCTCGTTCAGTTCTACATTCTAACACACCTTGGAAAGGTTCGCACACAAATAAGTAGTGGTGGTGGGCCATTGACCTCAAATCATAGTGAATGTAAAATGATTGAGATAATTAAAACATGCAAATACACGCATAAAAATATGAGTAAAGGTGGAATACAAAACGACCTACCTAGCCATGTATTCTAAGGGGTACATTCCATTTTTACAGATAAATCCAACCGTGCGACTCCAGGCGGTTACGAAACTGTCCGGACAAAATCCTCGCCACTTCTGCTGCTCGATGTTATCTGCCCTGTCGGTCCAGATGCTCCGTTACCGTACGCGACTCTTCGCGTCACCCTGCCTCTTCGTATTCGTCCTCGACATTGTGTGCTTCACTTGCTGCGGTTAGGAGTGCATAGTGCATTTTTCTCATTCACTATTCGTAACAGTGTGGAGACATGAAGTGATGGAATCAGAAGACCGACAAGAGGCTGTGAACATAAACTTAGGGTGTTCAGCTAATGAGTTAGTGTACAAAGAGGCTGAGTTGGGGATGTGGCACGTACCGGTATAGGGGTATACCAAAACAGTGCCGAAATAAAATGAACTATAAGGGAGGTGATATTAATAGGAAACCGTGAGAATTGTACCCTCGTAACTGCCTAATGCAACCCCTCTTTGGCCAAACCTCTCGCTCTCATCAGTCCCCTTCCCTCCTCGACATGCCTCTTAAGCCTAATTATGGTTTTTAAGGTAAGTCATTACCACAGCTCGACATTATACCGCATTGTCATTTGCATTCACGATGAACAACGTTATTCACAAAACTTTCACCGTCTTAATTTCTCTAGCTCCTTATCGTGTCCGATCGATCATTCAGTTATTTGAGCGCTTGCTAGCTCGCTCAATTTTACACACAGAAATTCCCAATAGCACCCACACAAGAATCAATTGCCCTACAATGTCCTTTTTTGGGGATAGAATACACTATAACATACATCATATCCACAGTGTAAAAAGATACCCTACAGCATCATAATATAGTTACTCTGTAGCGCGACCCCACCGCACCGAACAAAACCAGCCCCAAGGCCCTCCTCAAATTTGGTTACGGTATTCCTTGGACTACAAGACGAGGACTCTCTGTCCAGCGCACCGACACCGACAAACCCAGAGCCGATTGGTGTGGAAAACGTGTCTGATGAATCCTGCACGATGCTGTCTTGTTCGATGTGTTGTTGACAGAGGAAAGCCGCGACTCACCGCTTGGGCAGCCTAGTTCTCCCAGATTTTGGGTGATCCTAGTTCAGAATAATAAATCAAGGGATGAGCGACGTTCAAATTCATGAGGCTCTGATTTTTGTCGAGCGTGGTTGTGGAAAACACATTTTCTTTTGCGACCCGGCTGACGCCAGCCCTAGCATACAACAACACCGACTTGCACCGGCGCCGCTGAACAGAAGCTTCCACCATATGCCTGAAAGACCCCTCTGGTAGCCCAACATTTGAGAAAGGACCTGTTTTACACCTTGGTAGAGACTGGTGCACGACACAAAATAGCAGCGACATCACTGGGAAAAGTGTAATCGGCGCATAACTTCTCCACACCACAAGCCTCGTCTTCGTCCGAGTCATTGCTCCCGTTTCTTGCTTCCATTCCAAGCCACTAGCTTCGCAAAAATGCGTCGCACCATGGCCCTCGCAGCAATTCTGTTGTATGCTGTTATAGCCCGCGCTAGCACCTGCCACGGGTTGGGGCTCAAACTAGGCAAATACATTCCGCCCGGACCCAATGATGCGCGCGGGCCGTGTCCAGCGTTTAACACGATGGCGAATCACGGTGTCTTTCCGCGAGATGGATCGCCTGTGCCGCTCTCGCGCGTTTTGCTCGGGTTTCGCCAGTTCTTATCCTTGTCCCCGTCCCTGACTTTAGGCTTTTACGCTGGTGCGAAGGCTCTAGGCTTGACAACGAATGGGGGTGTGGATCCTGTGAAGCTCCGCATGCACAATAAGATCGAGCACGACGTCTCACTGGTCCGCGACGACGACCGGCTGGGCAACAATTACGCTGTCAACCAGACAATGATCAACCAACTAATTGCCAGCTCCAGCGACGGCAAGTTCCTGACGATGCAAGACATGGCGGCGTTCAGGAAAAAGCGGGTGGCAGACAGTCGTGCTAACAATCCGGATTTGACATTTGGACTGAAGCAGGATCTGATTGGGCTGGGGGAGGCCGCATTCCTTTTTGCGATCCTGGGCGACCCTCTAAGAGGTAGAGCCATTCCCCTGGGCTGGCTGATCTCATTTCTACGAGACGAAAAGCTTCCGAAGGGCTTCCGCCCTCCGTTTCTACCGATCGGACCAGCGCAGATGGGGCTAGTTGTTGGTAGACTAAAAGCAACGTCAGCGTTGTTGAACAACGTATCACCTTGAGGTTGGAAGCCCATTTGTAGACGCATGGCTCTCCATTTTTGCAGTGCTCTTGAAGCTGGTGGGTAATGGCAGTTCTACGGTTGGGGAGCAGCTGCAGAATGTGGGCCATACTTACAACACCTCTGAATGCATGCTGCCGCATGCAAGGCATGCCAAGGTGCAAAAGGTTCAGCTAATAGGCCGACGTAGGTTGCCTGAAAAAGGTTACAATGTATTTATTGCTTATGCTCCAAATAGAGATGTGAGGTGGATGTTTTTATTGTGTTTTCATTGAGATGGTACTCTGGCTTGTTTAAGACACGTTTTATAGTCTAACCTTCCCATTTTTGCATCTCAACGTTATAAAGAGCGCGTGCCATAAATTATCAAATTATGCTGTATAGTGCTTCATTCTGTCAGAAGGGCGGCGTTGTACAGCGTCGATATGCCCAGGAATTTTGAGCGGGAGTTTTCTGACTCGATCCGTGTGTCAGCCCCGATAATGGTTTGCTGGAGTGCGCGTCCAGACCTCCAAATTCATCGTGGCACCTACCAGTAAGTTGAGCTTTGAGATCGTCTGTTTATGGTCCCTAGGAACCTCGAAGGTATATCACCTCGAAGCTGAGGAGCAGCGTCAAGAGAGAATAACGCTTGTTCGATTGACTGATACGCGTCGACCTGATAATTCCGTCTTGTTTTTTCTTGTTCAAAGATCCTGTGAAATCCTTCTATTTCGACTCCTTATTTTCAGCATGGGGGCTGATCATAGCCGTCCGGATACATTGGACGATGACTACGAGACCGTCGTTGCACCTCATCCAGCTGCAGCCTCCCCGTCTGCGACGGTGGCTTCCCCAAGTTCGAGTAAGAAGGCTCCAGCGACGCGGCTTTGGCGCTCCGCTAAGGGCCCGGACGGGAGCGTTCGTTATAAGTTGGCGGACAAGTCGATCGGTTGGAAGTTCACGCAGAACCCTCCGCAAAAGACGCGCGACGATGACGACGACGATGAGGACGACGACGATTACAAACCCGAAGGCGAGGAGGAGGAGGAGGACGACGAGGGGTACTGGTACTTCGTAGTGGCAGGGAGGATCTGCGTGCGCGTGGACGAGAGTTTGAATATCCAGTTCAATGACCAGCAGCGCCGCGTGGACTTCACGGACTTAAAGAACGTGTGGGCCATCAAATTCGCGACCGACGACGAATATGCTGACTTCTGCCGGCAGTACGACGCGTGCCTTTTTGAGAACACTCACGGCATGTCGTACACCGAGGCGAACGCCGCCAAGGTTATGGGGAAAGAGTTCGTGGGTTGGGCCAAGGGGGAGGATGCGGAGGGAGCGATGTGGGAGGACGCTGCGGAGGAGCTGCCGGACGGAGAAGGCGCGTTGTCGCCGTCGTCGCGCAAGGAGTCGTCCATCACGGAGAGCTACGAGGAGACCCCCAAGGGCAAGAAGCCGCTGGGCTTCTCCATGGGCGCGCTGGCGAACAGCTACTTGATCCACGAGGGCGGCATCGACGTGTACAAGAACCGCGAGGACGGCGTGCATTACGCGGACGGGCTGAGCATCGCGCTGGAGAAGATGAGCATGAAGGACGGCGGCACTCCCGCCACCGCGAAAAAGGGCCTGCTGCTGGACCGCGAATCCACCATGCTGCTCATGAACCCTGGTGCTCCCACCGGCTCGCCCAGCCCGGCACATTCGGCAGGGCTGCGGCAGCTGGACATAGAGACGGGGAAGGTGGTGGCGCAGTGGAAGTTCGATAAGGATGGCACGGAGATCAACATGCTCGACGTCACGGGCGACAGCAAGGCCGCGCAGCTGCAGGCGGGCTTGTCCACATTCCTTGGGCTGGACAATAACCGCCTGTGCCGCTGGGACATGCGTGACAGGGCAGGCCAAGTGCAGACACTGGCTTCCACCCTGGCATCGCCAGCCGCGCTCACGTGGTCCGATGGGCACCAGTTTTCGCGGGGCACCAACTTTCAGTGCTTTGCTACCACTGGCGAGGGGTGTGTGGCGGTTGGGTCACGGGATGGCAAGATCCGCCTGTACTCCACAACCTCCATGCGCCAGGTTTGCACCCATGCCCTCATCTCTGCTCTTTCTTCACCGCTCTTGTGTTCCGTTTTCAGTGTTGTCCATGTTCGTGCTGGGCTCTAAATGCCAGACCTCTCGTGTGGCACACAGGCAAAGACAACGTTCCAGGGCCTTGGGGGCGCCATCACGCACATCGATGTGACATACGACGGGCGGTGGGTGATCGCCACCACAGACAAGAAGCTCATTCTCATCTGCACGGGCTTCAGAGACAAGGAGGGCAAGGAACGCTCTGCGTTTGTTGCCAGGGCTGGTGGCAACCTCGCTGCAGCGAGGCTGCTCAAGCTAACCCCTGAGCACGCACAGATTGTTGGGAACTTCAAATTCCAGAATGCCCGCTTCTCGTGGGTAAGCTGGGCACTTGGGTCTGGTGCGGCTCCTCGGGTTGGGTTTGATTGCGCTAAGCCTTTGGGGTAAGGCTCCCTGGGTCTACTCTTATGTGTAGGTCAATCTTCTCCACTTTTTTAAAGAATGTGTTGCTTCCCTTGTCCATTGTGTGTGGCTGGCGTGGACAGGTGACAGAGAGTGACCGGCAGGAGAAGCACATTGTGGCAACAGTTGACAAGTACACTGTCATCTGGCCCTTCCGCCGAGTCAAGCAGCTTGAGCATGACTGCTACACGCGCCAGGTTGGCCGCCTCAAGGAGTGCACATGCTACCGCGTGGCTCCTCGCAACGAGTCAGTGATTGACTCCAAGTTCATGCATGATGACTATGCAGGGCCCTCACTCCCAGAGGCTCCTCTTGTCGTTGCCACGCCACACCAGGTGGCTTCACTGCGCTTCTAGGTGAGGAGAGGTGCATGCAACATCATGGATGTGAGGCAGCATGGCATTGGTGTAGGAGACAGATGGTATTTGTGTGTGGTAGTGAGAGGGTTCTGCTGATAAATGATTGACGAGGAAGGGTAGGGAGGGAGGGACGGGTACAGAAGGCTGATAGGCAAGAAACCGAGGAGATCACCAAAGCTGTTTTAGAAAATGGATACTGTTTACCTACCGAATCTGGTATATTGTTTTAGATGCATAAGTCACAGCTGTGCTAGAGACCTGGCATGACAATTGTGCAAAATAACTACAGGTAAGTGGGAGCTTGAACAAAACTTCATGCAGCCTGTACAGTATAATCAATATATAATCCCTACTAACATTATTTCAGCACATCACAAGAGTAAGGATATGGACAGGCCATGATCTCATTTTTACAAGCCAGAATAACCTGATTGATATACGTAGATTGCGTCCATGTAGAAAGGTAAGCAGACCTTCATTTCTTTTAAAAATTTCGGTGAATTGTACTCTATGGGGATAGCTCTGCCTCCATTAGTGCCCACGGGGGGTGTGCTGGCAAGGAGCCTTTTTCAACTTTCCGGATGAACATCAGGGATTGGGTGGTGGAATGGAAGTGAGGCGGGTTAGAGATGGATGGGCTGGGTTGGGACGGTCTGGCTTGCGCCACTTCTTGGTGGTTGGGTTGGCTTGGATGATCGAGGTTGCTACCGGATCCGACGGAAGAAACTGCCCTTTGTCTGTTGCCCGTCTCAAGTACAGTATCTGGTCTATCATTATGAATTGGGTACACTGATAATTTCGAATGTTGTTGACATGGTTCTGCACTGCACCATTGAAATGTAGAACATTTAGGGCTCCTGCAGCCGTCGGTGGAGGCTATTGGCCGTGACAGTGACAACTTCCCAAGCTCGAGGTCGCGGCATGGGCGCACGCTAGCTTCTGCTGGTTTCTCGCGGGCATGAGAGTCGCTGTGGGCCGTACGCCGTGCAGCCCTACCAGAGAGCCTCGGAAGGAATCAGGCCAGCGGGGAGGGGAAAGGGGGTAGGTTGGCGTTTGGGGGGGGAAGAAACCCCACAGCGCTGTTCGTGTACGAACATACATGCTTCTCTCCCAAGTCCCGGCTATGCGCGCAATTTCATAATTTCCGCCCAGTTGACAGCTCCTTCATGCTTCACCTCCAGCGCCACGCAACAAGAGCGCTACTTAGTTAGTACACTGACTTACTGTCGCCAGCTCGTGGCGCAGAGGCTGCAATGCAGCCAATTCGATATCCTTCGTGTTTTCATCCAGCAGCACCCCATTCTGGCCATCCCTAACCATTAACGGCTTATGATAAAGAATAGTAGTTTAAGCCTGATTATTGACTATTTATATTGGACAGATCTGCATAGTGGAGTTAATAACTGCACTGCCCTTTCGGCTGCACTGGAGCCCGAGGGTAAGGCTACCTCTAGAGTATAACTAGGGATGCACGGGGGAGGGGGCGACTTCTCCTTTTCCGTGCCTCCACGGCCTTTGCGGCCCGCCAGGCATCGGAGGGTGAGGTCGGACGATGGCTACCTCTTTGATCACGTCATGGCGGCTCAGCAAGCCGCGGACCCGCGCGCCCATCACGGCGGCAATTCTCAAGGCGGGTCGGCAACGGGTCAGGCGACGTCGAATCGGTACCGGCAGCACCCGCAGTACATGCTGTCGGAGATCCCGAGCATCGAGGAGGAGGACCACGCCGCGTACGACGACGCCTCGCCAACCGGTGAGTCGGCGGTGCAGCCCGTGTCGCGGCGCTCACACTCGTACTCGCGCGCCGGGTCCATGGGCAGGGAGACGGAGGGGCAGGGCGAGCGGGAGTGGGAGCGCGATAGAGCGTACGAGCGAGACAGGGAGCGGCAGCGAGATGCTCCCGTGCGGGATTGGAGGGAGGGCGAGCGCGAGAGGGGCAGTGGGCGAGAGAGGGGCGGGGCAATGGAGTACGGCAAGGGGCGCGAGAGAGAGGCAGAGGCGATGCGGAGCAGGGAGTCGGAGAGGAGTGGCAGCTGGAAGGAGAGCGACAAGCACAGAGGGGAGCGCGGCAATTTTAGGGACAACGAACGAAGTGCTGGCGAGAGGAGTGCGGGCAGTTCTCGTGAGCGCGATCGCCCGGACAGGGGCACGGGGAGCTCGCGGGAGCGCGGTGAACGCGTTGTGGCGAGCGGCAGTGTGCGGGAGAGGGAGCGGTTGGAGCGCGAGAGAGAAAGGGAGCGAGAGTACGAGCGGGGGAGAGAGAATGAGTGGGGCCGTGACGACTCGACAAGAAGAGAGCTTTCGTACGAGGAGGACGAGGAGCAGCAGGGACATTACCAGGAGCAGCAGGGGCAGTACCAGGAGCACTCGAGGTATCAGGCGTCGCAGCACGCACATGTGCATCAGCACTACCAACAGCCGCCTGCAAAGGCGCGAACGGAGGGGCACAGCTCCCAGGCCTCAATGCAGCAGCAGCAGCAGCAGCAGCCCCGTCAGTCGCAACAGATGTCGCTTCAGCAGCAGCACCACCACTCGCAAGACGGTCTCTCCTCCTCGCCGCAACGCCACCCCATGCCCCGCTCCTCTCGTTCCGCCTCCTCCTCCGGCTTCCCCTCTCCCCTGGCGCCTGCCGCCAAGGGTTACGCCCCCGCGCCCAGTTCCTCGGGGGCCACGCCCGCCCACGCGGGGGAGGCGCGCTACGGGTCGCCGGCGGGTCCGGTGGCAGCGCTGAAGCAGAGCGCGCGGCACCGGCGCATCCGGTCGGAGGACGCGTCGATGTTCCACCGCATGCTCGCGCAGGATCACGCGGGCCAGCCCCCCGCCATGTCCGGAGGTGGGGGGTCGCCAGGCGGGCCACCGGGCGGCCGGAGCCCAGTGGCGCGACCCATGACCAGCGGCGCGGCAGGCGGGGCGGGCAGCAGCCGCTTTCAAGGGGGGCCTGCGACCGGCGGAGCTGGTCCCAGCGGAAGCACTGTGCGCGGAAGCGGGTACGGCGGCAACGCGAATGGCGGTGGCGGGTCCATGTCGGGCGGGATGAGCGGCGGTAGCGGTGGGTCGGGGCAGCACGTGGCGGCGCGAAGCCCGCTGGAAGGTGTAGGCGATCGGTTTGCGGACTATAGCGGGGGCGGAAGCGGCAAGGAACGGCGCGCGCAAGTGACCCATCGATTCCCGTCGTCGCGGTCCGTGTCCGCCGTGCCGTCACACGCCCTCGACCACGACCGCTCGCCGGACTCCCCCGTCCGCGCTACTGGCGGGGGCATGCGCGCGGGGGCTGGCGTGGGGGGGAGCCAGAGCCACAAGGAACAGGTGGGGGGGATGGGGATGGCTCAAAGAGACGCGCAGGCACAGGGAATGGGACGGGGCGCGGGGGAAAAGGTTCTGATGCGACCACGGAGCATGAAGGCTCTGTCGTCGCCGGGCGATGCGGCGGGCGACGAGCAGTCGCAGGGCTACGGTGCGAGCGCGCAGAAACAGCAGTGGCAGCAATACCAGCAGCCGCCACCGCAGCAGCAACCGTGGCAGCAGCAACAATTCGCCCCGGCCCCCCAGCAGCAGCAGCAGATGCGGCGTCGGTCGCACGATTCGCAGTCAAGCCCGTGGCCCGACGATGACTCCCCCATGCGCTCCCCCCCTGACATTGCGCGCCTCTCCTTCGACTCCGCCGATCACCAGCCTCCTCGCGCTGCGCGGGTGGGCTCGCCCGCAGCTGGGGGAAGGCCGGCGCCGTCGGGGAGTGGAGCTCCGCGCGCGGCAATGGGCGCGGGCTCTGGGCGGGGGTCGGGGAAAGGCGACGGGGCGTGGGGCGGCGCAGCGGAGGCAGTGGCGGGTCGCGTGCGGGAAGTCGCCGACATTCGCCCCCAGGCGCTGCCGCGCCCCAACAGCAGCGGCGGCGTGCGCAGGGCGGCGGGGCTGGCAGGCGGCGGAGTGGACCGGTCGCGGTCGACGGACGGCAGTCCCGACCCCGGCGACATGGGGAGTGGCGGCGCGCGGGGGGGCAAGGACGAGGGCGTGTGGGGGCGCAAGGCGAAGGGCAAGGGGGGGCAGCCCATCACGGAGGAGGCGCTGGAGCAGCAGCTCAAGCTCTCCGCGCACCGCCTCTCCGCCGTCTCCCCCGCCTACTCCACCTCCCCGCCCCACTCCCCTCCGCGCGCCACCTCCTCGCGCCCGCATCCCGCGTCGTCCACCTCTTCCACTGCCCACGGCGCATCGGGGGGAGCTTCTGCTTCGCCCGCGCAGACCTCCCCCGCAGCCAACCGTCCCGCCGGGCGCAATCCGCCGATGCGGATGACTGCGCGCAGCGCCAGCGGTACCTACTTCAGCTCCGCCGCCGCTGCTGTGGCGGCCGTGGGCGGAGGGCAAGGGATGGGCGGGGAGGGAGACATGCGCGGGGGGCGCAAGTACGGGGGGAATGGCGATTCCGCCGTGGGAGGAGCACAGGGGGGCGCGCCTATGCGCGCTGGAGGGGGGAGTTACGGCGGTGGTGCAGGCAGCGGGAATGTTGGCGGCAGTGCAGCGGCGGTGGCGGCGGCAGCAGGCAGCGGCGGCACCAACAGGCTGCGCCCGTTCGAGGAGCCCTCGCCCGCGGAAGCGCGCCCCAAGCCGCGCCACAGGCGCAGTGAGAGCGCGGGCCCGGGGTACTTTGTGGGCGGAGGGGGCATCTGGGGCGCCGTGGCGGGCGCCAACATGGCGCCGAATCTGGGCGCGAACGGCCCCCAGGCGCTGGCGCTCAACTTCCTGGCGGGCGCACAGCAGAGCGACGCCGTGGTCAGCAGCGGGGGCAGCGCGCACGCCCGCGCGCAGGGCGCACAGGGCAAGGTGGGCGCAGGTGCTGGCGGGACAGCTGGCGGGACAGCTGGCGGGACAGCTGGCGGAGGCATGGCGGGACGGGTGGGGAGCAGCGGAGGAGGAAGGGACGGGGCAAGCGAGAGTGGTGGGGCGGGGGCGACGGGAGGGGGAGTGGGGAGTGCGATGGCGAGCAGCATGGGCGTGGAGGCGGTGCGAGCAGGGCTGTCCGCCATCCGCACAGGCGGGCACGGCAGCGCCAAGCACATCAACCTCGGTGCCTTCGCCAACCAGGGACCCGCCGCTGCCGCCACCACCGCTGCAGCCGCCACCGCAGCAGCAGCGGCGGCGGCGGCAGCAGCAGCGGTGGGGCCGGACGGGTCGATCCCGCTGAGCACGAACCTGAAGCTCAAGGTGCGTGGAGGCATGTCCATTAGCGTGCCGCACAGCAACACGGCCGTCAGCCCGCGCGTGTCCTCCTCCGCCACCGCTGGCGCCTCTGCCAGCACGCCCACGCACGCCAGTCCGCGCAGCGGCATCAACTCGCCGTTCAACATGGCGAGTCCGCGCGAGGGCGTGAGTCCGCTGGCCAGCCCCATGCTACCGCTGGACCCCGAGAAGCTGTGGGCGCTGCAGAACTTCCAGCGCTCCACTCCCGTCTCCACTCCCACCGCCTCGCCCCGCCCCGGCTCCCTCTCACCCCCGCCCGCCGCGCCCCCGCGCACGCCGAACGTAAGCGACTACTACTACAGCGCCAAGTCGGGCGAGGGGGGCAGCCCACGCGCTGCAGAGGAGGAGCAGGTGGAGGAGACGCCGGCGACGGCGAACGTGCTGCTGAAGGACGTGGTGGAGCTGAGCGAGCTGTACCGCCTGTCCCGCAAGGAGCTGGGACGCGGCAACTTTGGGGTCATCCGCGTGTGCGAGAAGCGCGACTCCGGGGAGCGATTCGCATGCAAGACCATTGAGAAGAAGAACCTGGAGGTGAGGGGGGGGACGGGGGGAGGGGGCGGAGTGGGGAAGGGACGGGTGATGGGATAGTGCTTTGAAGTGATGGGAGGATGCATCACACGTGCATCCAGACACCTATGTGCCACATCACATTTCCTTGGTGTTTCTCTGGCTTGTATTTACGTGTGTGTTGCTTGTGTGCGTATGTGTGTGCATGTGGGCTTATGTGGTGGCAGTGTTGGGAGGACGTGGAGGACGTGCGGCGGGAGGTGCAGGTGATGGAGATGCTGAGGGACCACGCCAACGTCATCAAGCTCGTCGACACCGTCGAGTCCCAAAAGGTACCCACCCCCGCCCATGCACCCTCCCACGCTGCCTCTCTGCTGCTCCTTCCCTGGCCTGTGCTCGTCACACCCGCCCTGCCCCCCTGGATGCTGCAGGAGCCAGCATGCTGGGCCTGTCATGGCCGTGCCTTGGCGTCGTCAACGCCCATCACCAACGCTCCATCTTCCCTCACCACCGCTTGGTTTTATCGCCCTCCACCCCATTACCTCTCTCTTTTGCTCGACTCTCACTCCCGTGCGGTGCGTGTGTGGGTGGGCAGGAGGTGCATCTGATAATGGAGCTGTGTGAGGGCGGGGAGCTGTTTGACCGCATCCAGGACAAGGGCTACTACAGCGAGCGCCAGGCCGCCAAGGTGACGCGCACCGTGGTGGACGTGCTGCAGCACTGCCACTCGCACGGCGTGCTGCACCGTGATCTCAAGCCCGAAAACATCCTGCTCACCAGCAAGCGCAGTGACACGCGCGTCAAGGTCATTGACTACGGCATGGCCTACATCTTCCAACCAGGTGCCACCCCCGCCCCTCAACCCACATTCCTCTCAACTCTCGCTCCTTCCCTCCCTCCTCCACCCCGTCTATCGCACAGTTGTGTTCCTCTCCCCCCCCACCCCCTTTCGTATTTCCCTTGCTTCCCTCACTCTCGTCACAGCCACACATGGTGATGCACGCAACGCGTGCACGCCTCTCCCTTGCCCTTTCCTCCTCACCCTCGCCCGCCCCTTCCCACATGCACCACCCTCCCTGCCATCTTCCTCTCATTCCTTCATTTACCTATTCCTTCTTCCCCTCCCCTCTTCCGTCTGCCACCAGGCGAGAGGTGCACGTTCAGGGCGGGCACGCCGAACTACATCGCGCCCGAGGTGATAAACAAGAACTACGGCGTGGAGGCGGACGTGTGGAGCGCGGGCGTGATCCTCTACATCCTGCTGTGCGGCCTGCCGCCCTTCTGGGGGGACACAACGGAGGAGATCTTCAAGAGCGTGCTGTGGGGCCACCTGGACTTTGACACCGACCCCTGGCCACAGGTGTCGGACGCGGCTAAGGACCTCGTGCGCCGCATGCTCTGCAAGAACTACGCCAAGCGCATCACCGTCGAAGCCATCCTGCGTATGCCCCCGTGCCCTCGCATGCCATTGGCTCTCAGCCTTTGCTGTCTCTTGTCCCTGTGGGGTTACACATGTGGCCTTGTCATCCGTGCTGTGCTCTTGCTCCTCAACCGCTTGCCCCCCCATTTCACCTTCCTCTCCATCTCTTCCCCTCTCTCCCCGCTCACTGCACCAGGTCATCCATGGATCGTTGCTTACACGACGTGACATGGCAGCACTCATGACGTGGCAGCACTCATGATGTGGCAGCACTCATGACGTGGCAGCACTCATGACGTGGCAGCACTCATGATGTGGCAGCACTCATGACGTGGCAGCACTCATGATGTAGCGGCATTCATGATTTAGCAACACCACATGTGGCTGGGTGGTGAAGCTGGAGCAACTGCTGACATGAACAGGCTCACATCTCACATGACATCAACTTTACACCATCCACCCCCTCTCTCTCCTTCCCCTTGCATCGCATGCCTGTCTGCACCGCTATTCCACTGGCTCTCCCTCCCTGCCTGCCTTCCATTCTGCCCACTCGCTAGCTCCCAAGCTGCAGCTCACGCTTCTCTTGGTCTGCTCGCTCGCACGTGCACCATTCTGCTTCCCCTTGTCCCTTACATATCCTGACCCCCATTTAACCCCAACTGTCGGCGCACGTCCTTTTCCACTGTGTGGGCGCACTTGAGCACCAAGTCCCTGCATGCTGCTCATTGCCACCAGATGCCCTCTCTGCCTGATGTCGCCTTGCTCCATGGCTGCACTCGCTCCCATCTGACCACCCCACCCTGCTCACTCCTGTGGCTTGCGCACCTGCCACTCCTCTCTGCCGATGTTCCAGAGAGGATGGTGCCTTTGTCACAGGGCTGTGAGGTCAGGTTGCTGTGTGGGCCCTCGTGTGGTCGCTGGGTGGAGAGGGCTTCTCAACAGCGACAGTGCTAATGGAATGTAGACGCTTTCTGCTAACTGACTGCACGACGTGCTCTGATGTGTGGATTCTATTCTAATTTGGATGTTATTTATTGTGCATGTTTCATTGACCATTGACAATCTTTTCTATAATAATCATTATGGAATAATAACAGCCGCTTAGAGCTTGATTATCTAGTGATTTATCGGAGGTGTAGTTTTCCCATCTCAGCAAAGCCTTTCGGCTCATGCAATGAGGCCACGTGTCGCTTCGCGTCGCGCAGTGTCGACCGTTTCACATTCGCATTCACATGCGGTCCGATTTCAGTAATTCCCCACTGCAAACCCTCCAAAGATGTGCCACCAACCCGTTTCTCCATAACATCTACAATGCGACCAAATCTTCATCCCCCTTAGTTCTCGCCTGCCATCATCAGCCACCACACTCGCTGTCAAAGCGATTGACGCCAGGAAGACGACAATGCCGCCACTGACGGTAATATTGGTTTACGAAATGTGCCTATACTTATACTTTCTTATCGAAGTCAGTAGTAGCTCTGCGTGTGCGACTCCACAAACGCTGCCAGCATTTGAGAGGTCTCTAACGTTCTAACGCAGCACTGCCACGGTGTGCCTTGCAGGGACGAAACTTGCTCCTGGAAGAGCCGATTCGGCTGGCTTCGATCCTCGAGCCGTCATTTCATCATTTATGAATGCCTGCTTTATGATGTCGCAAATTTCCGCGCCGCTTCTTGCACCTGGCTTCGTGCAGTCTACCTCCCTCGCACTCCCACTCCCTCCTCCCCCACGCAGCAGCGCGGCGCGGTGCCGTCGCTGACCAAGGTGGTGGGCACGGTGGGCGGCACGAGCCGTAGCGTGGAGGTCCTGGAGGCGCTGCTGCGCGCGGGGATGACGGGTGGGTGACGATGCTTCTGGCGTCGCCTTTTAGAAATCCCAATTGTGCTCCAACATAGGTGCGTGGCGGGCAGGGCGGGGCGTGAGAGGGTCGAGACTAGTTGTAGTTTTCGTCACACCCGACAAACCAGCAGTACGAGCCCTGTGAAGAAATGAGCTTTTGAAAAAACGCCCAGACACACCCTGTTGCACCATTCGGTCACACCACTTCATGCCTCCCTCTCTCACCGCCCCTCTCATCACCCACGCCCCTCCCCAGTGGCGCGCTTCGACTTCTCCCACGGCGACGCGGAATACCACCAGCACACGCTCGATAATCTGCGCATCGCCATGCACCGCACCAAGAAACTCTGCGCCGTACGACACGCACGCACCCTAGCATACAGGCTGCGCCGTACGACATGCAGTGCGTGGCTCATGGCGCACGGTGCATCATGCATGACAGCAAATGCAATTTGCGAGGCGCGTGGTGTCTCGAGGCAAACATACATTGTCAACCATTCCTTGAAATAATCCTCCAGTTGCGCTGCACCCACGTGTCCCTCCAGTACTCCTACCCCACCTCGCCCATACTGCTCCTGGCTGGCTGTGCACCCGCTGCCATCTTGCATGCGGGCATGCATGCGCGCACGGCTTGACGGCAGGTGATGCTGGACACGGTGGGCGCGGAGCTCATCATCGCCAACCCAGGCGGGGCGCCCATCACGCTCACAGCGGGCAGCGACATCACCCTCTCGCCCGCCTGCTCCGCCGCCTCCGCCTCCTGCCTGCCGCTCTCCTTCCACGGCCTCGCGCAGGTGCGCTGCCCCGCGCTCGCTGCACAGGGGGAAGGGCGCGCTGGGAGTTGGGTGCGCTGGTGGCTGAGCGCTAGGGGCTTTCGGTGTGGGTGGCGTGGCGGGTGGATCGCCATGGTACCTATCATGGAAGCACGTGGCAGCACAGTGTGCGACACCCTGTGCTGCCCCCTGCTCACCCCACCCATGCGCCGCTGCACGCCCTGCCATGTGAACCCCAACGGCAGGCAGTGCGGGCGGGCGACGAGATATTCGTGGGGCAGTACCTCTTCACGGGCGCCGAGACAACCTCCGTCTGGCTGCAGGTGCGCGCTCGTCGCATGTGCTGCCACGTGGCTCGTGATGTTGTGTGGTGCAAGTTCAAGTCGTGCTCTTTGTGTATGCTGATGTGTGTGATGCTCCATGGTCGTGTGACACATGGGTGTGCCTTGGGTGCGTGGCATCAGGTGCGGGAGACTCGAGGGGCGGACGTGGTGTGCTGCATCCGCAACAGCACCACCCTCGCTGGCCACTTCTTCACTGCACACGCTGCTCGGGTGAGACGCGCTGCCATCATGGCATGCTCCGAACGCATCACACATTCACACGTTGCACCAGAACGGCATGTTGCTCGCTTCCAGCCTCATGTGTGCATGCCATTACGCCATTCTGTGCGCCCCCATGCTCCCCTGCCCCACCCTCATGCATCACTGCCTTGTCTCGTTTGCACCTGCACACTCCCGCCTTCCCTCCTCCCCCACTTGGCCCCCATGGCACGGCACCAGGTGCGCATGGACATCCCCACGCTCACAGCAGCGGACCGGCAGCACATAGCCACGTGGGGGCGGCGCAACAGCGCGGACATCATCTCACTCTCCTTCACACGCCACCCTGATGATGTCGCACAGGTGAGCACGCGCCGTGCCGCTGGGGAGTTGGGTGGGTGGGTGTATTGTTGCACAGCATGGCACACAGCGAGACAGTGCTGGTGGCAGAAATGGTATCAGAGCCGCACTGGCATGTTGGAGAGTGCCGCCTTGCGAGTGAGGTAAGGGCAAGCGCACTCGTGTGTTTTTCACACTGGCATAATGCCCTTGGCCCCCATGTCTCGTGCCTCATGCCCCCGTGCCCCACTGCCAATGCCCCTTTGTTTCATAGCTGCAAGAGCTTGAATTCGTGTAAACCAGCAAGCAAAAACAGCATGCCCCAGCCCATGCCCATGCACATGCCCATGCACATGTCTATGCACATATGTCCATGCCCATATGCTCATGCCCATATGCCCATGCCCATGCCCATATGCCCATGCCATGGCCATTCCCAGAAGCCCATGCCCTTGCCCATCCCATGCCCATGCCGATCAATGCCTATGCCCATGCCTCTTATGCCCATAACCATGCCCATGACCATGCCCCATGGCCGTGGCATTGCGTGCAGACAAGGGAGGTACTGGATTCGTTGGGCGACCTGAGTCAGACACAGATCTACGCCAAGGTCGAGACCATGCAGGTGCCCCGCTCTCCTACTCAAAGGACACGGGTCCATAGCAGCGACTTTGGTTGCCCAGCTAGTCTGGATGGTATACTAGGCGCTCAAATATGAACAAATCGATTACACTTGTAGGTAACCATAGTGGTATATCTGGTAGCTTACACTCCACTTCAAAACGCCTACCCTCTCGTGTCCTTGCACTTGCATTTCCGAGTTGTTGCTGCAAGAGGAGCGCTAGATTCCTGGAGATTGGCTCCACGCACAACGGCTGGGGGGTTGTTGTGGGTCCGTTAACCCACCAAACCAACTCACCCGTTTAACGCAGTACTTAGCAGTAACGCCTGCACTTATGCAGTTGTCCCCCCCACCCTGCACACTTCCCCCTGCCCTCCCCAACCCCACACTTGACCTGCGGCAACCCACGGGAGCAGGGTCTGAGGAACTTTGAGGGCATAGCGGAGGTGGCGGACGGCATCATCCTGTCGCGCGGCAACCTGGGCATCGACGTGCCACCGGAGAAGGTGTTTGGCGTGCAGAAGTGGGCGGTGGCGCAGTGCAACGTGCGCGGCAAGCCCGCTGTGATCACGCGCGTGCTGGACTCCATGGTGCTCTCCCCCCGCCCCACGCGCGCTGAAGCCACCGACGTTGCCAACGCCGTGCTCGATGGTGGGGTGGAAAGGGGGGGAAGAAGGGAGTGTATTGGACGTGAGTTAGGGGTGGTAAGTGAAGAAGCGCACGTGCGTGCATGCGATGGTGAGCCGCACTGCATACCTGAGCCGCACTGCATACCTGAGCCGCACTGCATACCTGAGACGACACTGCATACCTGAGACGACACTGCCACACACACATGGGGCTTCTCAACCCCGCCCACCTCTCTCAGCTTTCCAATCCTGCCATCTCTTCCTACTCTCTCTCCTCTCTCTCCTCTCTCTCCTCTCTCTCCTCTCTCTCCTCTCTCTCCTCTCTCTCCTCTCTCTCCTCTCTCTCCTCTCTGTCCTCTCTCTCCTCTCTCTCCTCTCTCCCCTCTTCCCCCCTCCCACGCCCCCCTTGATGGGGCCACGGTGCCAGGCGCGGATGCGGTGCTACTGGGCGCGGAGACGCTGAGGGGGCTGTTCCCCGCTGCCACCGTGGCCACTGTGGGGCACATCTGCGCTCAGGTGAGCAGGCGCTGCTCTCGCTGCTGCTGCCCGCACACTGCTACACACAACGTCAGCGCAGCACCAACACAGCACCCTTACACCTACCAGCATGCTCACACCTGCACCCATTCCCGTCCCCACCGTGCCCATGTGGCACGGCATGGCATGGCAGGCGGAGCGTGTGTTCAACCACGCGGGGCACTTCAACAGAACGGTCAAGGCGCTGCCCGACCCCGTCTCGCACATCGAGATCATCTGCTCCTCCGCGGTACGCCGCCCCTCGCACCTCGTCTCTCCCGCCTCTACCGTCATCTCTTGAGCCTCCCTGCGGCCAGCGCCACAACATGGCATGGCATCCATCCACAGCATCCACAGCATTCGTCTCTCCCTCACACCTGTTCGGCCCCCTCTCTGCCGCTCTCTGCCTCTCTCACTCCATCTGCTCCCAACCCCCAGCGCAAGCCACGTGCCTATCCGTGCTACCCCTGCGCGCCTCCCTGGGTGTCCCGTTGCCCCCCCAGGTGCGCACTGCGGAGAAGGTGCGCGCGGCTGCCATCATCGCCTTCACCTCCTCCGGCCACACCGCCAGGTGCCGTCCTGCCCTGCCAGCCTCTCCCCTCTCATGCTGTGCGTTCTTCGTGGGCCAGTGGGACTAGGAGTGGCAGCAATAACTGTTGGGCGTCACTGCAACCTGCGCCGTGGGCCACCAATCGCCTGTCTCTGCATGCCATGCCGCTGTACCACTACCATGCACACATCCCTCACCCTCTCCACCCACCGCCACCTCTCTGGGCAGGCTAGTGTGCAAGTACAAGCCGTCCATGCCAGTGTTGGCGCTCATGGTACCGCATGTGTCCACGGACCAGCTCTCCTGGCACCTCATGGGACCCTTCCAGGTCTGTGCCCCCCTCACACGCGCCCACACCAGTGCACACCCTCCTTGGCACACGAGCAGGAGAACGAGCGTGGCACATGTGGTTGGGTGCATGGTGCGTGGGTTGACTTCAATGACCAACGGTCTGTAGGAGCTGCTCTGGAGAATGCTCAGAAGCACCTCCAGCCAAGCTGCATCACTCGGGGTCGTGCCTGCCAATGCGCTCAACAATTACATTCTTGCAATAGCCGCTCAGTCCCACAACCTCTCAATCACAGGCCTTTTCTGGCACGTCCCCATGGCTGTCACTCCACACACCTCTCCTAATCTGCTTCTCCCCCCAACTCCCAACTCCTCTCTCGCCCTCCCCCCCTGCCGCTGCTGCCCCGGCCACGCGAGCAGGCGCACCAGTGTCTGGCAGTGCGCGGCCTCTTCCCCATACTTGCTGACGTCATGACCCACGTGAGTCAAGCGGGAATGGGGTTGGAGAGGGGGGATTATCGGCCGTGTCAAGGGAGGAGGGAGGGTTGGCGCATGTAGTGTAGGGTGGTGCAGTGCATGAGAGGAAGGTAGATGATGGGCGGGGCCATCCATGTAAGGCAAGGCAAGCCAATAGTCTGTGTGGAAACAGTTGCTAGTGCATGGTGAATGGCACCCCTGTGTCCATGCCTCCATCCGCCACCATTCTGTTGTCTCCCCTGCGCCCTTGCGCTGTGGCACGTGGAGCATGGCAGGCGAGCAGGGGTGCATGGACGCCAGAGGAGTGGGTGCTGCAGACGGCGCTGGAGCGTGCGGGTGCCATGGGGATGGTGCGAGGCCGTGACCGTGTCATCGTGGTGCAGAAGATCCGAGATGCCTTTGCCGTGCGGATTGTGCACGCCACCCCCACCTGATGCATGCGCTCTCACTGCTGGTGCACTTCCTTCATCACATGGACGTCTCTAGTTGTAAAGACAAGAGGGGCAGTGCAGTGTGCATGTGATTGGAGGAGTACGCTCATGTGCATAGAGCAAAAGGGGACTTCTTACCGTAGCAGCTTAACCAATTGCATTGCAGTCAGAAAATATGAAGAGTTACGGTATTGATTCCTAAAGCCCAAAGTATCTTGGACTGAGCATCCTAATACCTCATATGCGATGCACCATCTGCAAAGCTTTCAACCTCATGGTGCCCTCACATCTCTCTCCCCACAGTGCCACCACCGCTGCCATGGCTGCCGGGAGCAGCAGCGGGCGTTCTGAGCGGTGCTCTGAACCCGCTCATGGCCTTCAGCCCTGCGCGCCGCCCCATGGAGCCCCCGTACTGGGCCCCCCCTGGCGCCCCCGCTGGACCCCCTGTGCCAAACGCCAGAGCCTTGGGCCGCAGCACCGATGCTGGCGTTGCCATGGGACCCGACCCTCCCCCCACCACCCCCTCCACCTTCCCCGCCTCCCCCCCTCCTTGCGCCGCTGCCCCCCTCTGCCCCGCCTCCTGCTGCCCCACATGCTGCGGCAACCCTCCCCTGCTCCCGCCTGCCCCCCCACTGCCGGGAGCGCCCCTGGTCCCCGGCCTGGCCCCACTGCCGTGCGAGCCACTGCCGTGTGCCAGCAGCATCTGTGCATGCGCCTGTGCCATGGTGCCCGCACGCCCCGCGGTGCCCATGTTGAATGGCCGCGGAGTGCGGCGCGGCCCAGCAGCCGCTGCCATGGTGCCCTTGCTCCACGTGGCTGGCCGTGGCTTGCGCTGCACTGCTGCCCTCGCAGCCGCGCCTGCTGCCCCATCCACTGCGCCTCCTCCCTCTGTTCCTCCCACTGCTGCCCCGCCCTGTTCCCCTCCTCCTGCTCCTCTTTCCAGAACCGAGCCCTCTGCCGTCCTCGCTTGACTGTCACCACCGACAGCACCACCACAACTATCAGCCGTGCTGCTGCCCTTCTCCTCTCGCTCGCACTCGTTGGTGCCAGCTTGCCCCACTGCCTGCGCGTCTCCTCTGCTGCCACGCACGCCTGCATGCCCAGGGGGGTTGGCAGCAGCAATGGCGGCCACAGCAGCTGCTGCAGCGCGCTGCCTGAAGCTGCCACCGCTGCCACTCAACGCCCTCACGTTCCCCACCCTCTCCTGCTCCCGTACCCTGCCGGCCGTGCCGGCTGTCTCATCATGGCTGTGCCCCTGCCCACTCCTGTCATCACTCCTCCTGTGCCCCGCGCTGCCTGCATGCCCTGACATCTGCACACCTGCACCACCACTGACCCCTGCCGACCCTCTCACTGCTGCTGCTGCTCCTCCTCCTCTTGCTGCTGCTTCTCTTGGCCCTCTGCTTGCTGCTGCTGTCTCCACCTGTCGCTGTGACACCACTTGCTCCCTGCCCCTCCCAATGTCACGCTCCTCCCCACCCTCCTCGCCCGCTGCACTCTCCTTGGCACCACTGCCTGCTGCCCTGCCCACGGCAGCAGTGGGAGCAGCAATCGGAGTGGCACGCACTGCGGGTGTGCCAGGCTTCCTGGCAGTGCCCACTGGTGGGCTGGGCAGTGCAGCGGAGGGTGCAGCAGCAGCAGCAGCAGGAGGTGCAGGGGCACGGGGTTTTCTGCCTGTGAAGGTGGGCGGGGGCCTGTCACCCATCATGGGCCCTCTTCCTGCTCCTCCCACTCTTGCTGCTGTCGGTCCTACGCCTGGCATCCCTGCACCTGCTGCTCCACCCGCTCCACCTGCCTTCCCTGCTGCAAACGCACCCACGTTCTCCTTGCCTGCTGCAGCAGCAGGGGCAATGGAGTTGAGCAGCGGGTTGTCTAGACTGTCCAGCACAGGTGCCACCACACTCTCTCTCTCCTCAAATCCCCCCGCGCCCTCTCGCTCCGTTCCCCCATGGCCCCACACCTTCCACTTACCACCGTCCCTGCTGCCCTCGCACGCCTCCCTCATGCTCCCATCCAGGCTGCCATAGCTCGCTCGCCCCACTCCCTGGCCTACATTAACACACCGTTCTCCCAGGGGTTGCGCCGCCCCCCCATATCCCATTCCGCTGCTGCCGCTCGCCCTGCTCCCTGCCACGCTGCGTGCCGCCCCTGCCTCTGCCACACCGCCACCACGTGCATGCCCCTGTTCCTCCCGCGCCCCCACTGGCAGTGCAGCAACAGGGGGGGCCATGGTCGGGGAGAAGCGATCAGGGGGCGCAAGGGACGGCCGTCGGTAGTGCTGGGGGCGCTGAGCTGTCTTCGTGCCGCCCGACCCTGGCCGTGTTGCTGCTGCTGCTGCTGCTATTGGTGGCGCGCACGGCTGCTTGTACAGTGCGCGCTCCGGAGCAGCACACTCAAGGGGCTGAGGGGTAGTCCTGCTACCACCACTTGCACCGCTCGCAGCGGCAGCAGCAGCAGCAGCAGCAGCGGCAGCATGATCGGGGGATGGTGGGCGGTAGTGTCTGGACGGGCCTGCATGACCATGAAACTGCACCCCACTCGCACCCCCACCACCACTGCCTGCTGCTCTTGCCTCTCCTCCCATGGCAGCTGCTGGCTTGTGGCGCACAGCAGCAGCGTCATGCGTGCGAGGGCGTGCATGAGCCTCATCCGCGCCATCACCCCCACTGCCAACCCCCACACCTCGCCCTGCACCCCCTGCTGTCGCCATCGCCCCACTCCCATGGCCATGCCCGGGGGCGCATGGGGGTGCATCAGCATGCACCTGCATGTGCACGTGGGCTTGCACTGGCGCCTGGGCATGTGGGTGGGCATGCGCGTGGGGATGAGGGTGGGCACTGGCGGCAGCGGGTGGTGGAGGAGGGTCCTTGAGCGGGGCGACATGGCGGCTGACCTCCTTCTGCACCACGTCCAGCACCACCACTCCGAACAGCTCCACCCACCGCCTGCTCACACCACCCACCACACCATACACGCCCACACGGATGTCCGTCACATGGAGCAGCTCTTACAAATATACAACTCCAGTTTAGTTTTTGGTTTTTAAGGGGCTGAGCGAATGCATGGTTAAGCGGGGTGATGGGACTGCTTTATAGTACATGCTGCGCCCGTGTGATTAGCTTCGACAAGGGCCGAGACGCGGTGTGGCATGGTGCATGGTGCATGGCACATGGCGCATGGCGCATGGTGCATGCCGTATGGCGCATGGTGCATGATGCATGGTGCATGGTGCATGGTGCACAGTACACGGTGCATGGTGCATGGTGCACAGTACACGGTGCATGGTGCATGGTGCACAGTACACGGTGCATGGATTGTGTGACTCACTGTGGGAAGAACTTGAGGAGCTCTGCTCTGTCAGCAGGCATGCGCATGGCCAGTGCCGTCATCTCATCGTCACTGCACGGGCACAGGGGCAGTACACACCAGGAAATGCTTGCTTTGAATGGGCCTCATGATATGCAGCTCGTCTGTGGTGAACGCACATGTGATGAAAGCACTATGGCATGATGGCATAAAAGCATGATGGCATGAAAGCATGATGACATGAAGGCATGATGGCATGAAAGCATGATGGCACGATGGCATGATGGCATAAAAGCATGATGGCATGAAAACATGATGGCATGAAAACATGATGGCATGAAAACATGGTGGCATAAAAGCATGAGGGCATGAGAGCATGATGGCAACGTGGCAGTATGGCAGGGTGCAGAAGGAAGCGGCATGGCAGCATGCATGGACATGGACGTACGAGAGGATCTGCGAGGGGTGCAGCTTGGGGTGTGCTGCGCACAGCTGAGCGCGCATGGCGGCCAGCGATGCTCGGATGTTCGTCACCAGGGCCTGGTGGGTGGGTGGAGGGGAGGAAGGAAGAGGTCATGGTGGGATGGAGCCGGGAAAAGGGACACGTAGCAGCAGGGGTGGTGCAAGGAGAAGGCAGGTGGATGCACGGACTTGCGTGGGGTAGAGGCATGTGTGCATGTGCGCAAGTGGCAGCATGAGTGGCGCACTTTATCGATGGCAGCGACACCAGAGGAGGCGACCCAGCCGCTGAGCTTCTTCTTGAGCTCCAACGCGTCCACGCTGCGCCGGTTCTCCCCCTCCACCACCACCACTCCCCCGCTGGCCCCGCTGCTCCTCCCACTCCCACCACTGCCACCACTGCTGCCCCCGCCCCTGCTCCCGCTGCCACTGCCACCCCTGCTGCTGCTGCTGCTCCCGGCCCCTCTCGTGCTCCTCCTCCGCCATGCGTGTCCGCTGCCCTCGCCCTCGCTCTCAATGCTGCTGCTGCTCTCACTCGTGCTACTGCTGCTCCTCTGCACCCCTCGCCTCGCGCCTCCTGCACTGCCGCTTCCCCGTTCCCTTCCCCTTCCGCCCATGCCTCGCACTCCTCTCCCGTCACCCCCTCCTCTCCCCGTCCCCGCGTCTGCCCTGCCAGCCATCCCCACCACGCTCGACAGCGCAGGCGATAAGCCAATCGCTGCTGCTGCTGCTGCCATTGCTGATTCTCCGTCCCCAACCTCCTCGTCCTCTCCCCCCGCCGCACTCTCCGCCGCCATTGCCCCTGACGCCGCAGGCAACGTCTCATAGTCCTGCTCCCCGCGTCCGCGCAGCCCCGCCAGAGTGACCTCCTCCCGCGGCTTCCGCGCGCTCGCCCTGCGGCGCGCCTTGGCTGCGGGAACGTTCACCGACCACGCCACTCCTGGCGTCGCCTCGCGTTGCTCCTCCTCCCCCTCATCCCCGTCTTCCTCTTCTTCCTCGTATTCTTCTTCGTCAGCCTCCTCCTCCTCCTCCTCCTCCTCCTCCTCCTCCTCCTCCCCCTCTACTTCCGCGTGCACCAAATCCTCATCGCCCCGCACTCGCAGCACGCGCGAGCGTCTCTCCCCGCCGGCCCAGAACGACACGTCATCGTCGTCGTAGTCGTCGCCTATCGCCATCGCCATGCTGCTGCTCGACCGCGCCGACCGTCGCATCGCCGCGCGACTGCGCCGGCTGGGGTCACGCGACCGCCTTCCAGCGCCTTCGCGGGATTTCTTCAGCCCATCAATCTGCAGCTTGCGCGGCGGCATCAGCACCCCCCCCGCCGCCGCTGCGCGGCTGCTTGCGCCCTTTCCGCGGCTCATGGTGCGCGCAAAGCTGGGCAGGCGCGCGGCGGTGGCGAGCGGAGTGAAGTCCACCTTCGCCACGGCTGCGGCCGCCGCTGCGCCCAGATCACGCGCCGAGATCTTCCGCATGATGCCGCGGAAAATGGTTCCGCCAGTGCGGGGCTCGCCCGGGCGACGGCGGCTTCCCTTGCCCAAGCCCGTCCGCTCGACCTCCGCCCCGGGCGTCACGAGCTCAGGCTCCTGCGCCATCCTCTCCGCGGCGGGAGGTTGAGGTGCGCGTGGTCGTTCGCCTTCCTCCGCGCACCACTCGCTGCCCTCCCCGCACGACCTCCTCTCCTCCACGCGGGACAGCCGTCCGCTCGGCCCGCCCACCAAGCCCTCCTCGTCCGCGCGCTTCCCCGCCCACGGGTAGGGCTGGGGCGGGGGGCGTTTTCCCGGGGGCGTTTCGAGGTCGGCGGGCCGAGTGACGCCGCCTGGCCGCCTGAAGCTGACGGCTCGCGGCGCTGTCAAGGGGGCGGCTGCAGGCGGGCTCTCCCCCGCCGCCGCCTTCCCGCCATCGCCACTCGCCGCCGCGTCGTAGTCTTCCTCCGTTGCTCTTTCTTCCGCGATCTCCTCTACCGTCTCCGCTTTCCCCCTGCCCCCCCTCGGCTCCGCGTCCCCGAGCCTGAGAGCCTGCACCACTCCGCGCGCCGCCTGGCGTTGAAAGCGGCCGGCGGCGAAGAGGTCGACTCGCGCGGAGCCGCCTTCAGACACGGGGTTCTCGCCCTCGGACAGCGCGCTCGCCATCCACGTCGCTGGCGTGTTGGCTGTCTTCGCTGTGTTGACCGTGTTGACTGTGTTGACCGTGTTGACTGTATTGACCGTGTTGGGCGCGTCGGGCGTGGGTGCCTCGTGCGCGGGCCGTGCGTCGTTACGGAGGCTGCTCTCCTCGTCACCGTCACCGTCACCGTCACCATCGTCATCAGCGATGGACGACAAACGCGGAGCGCTGCTGCTGCCGCCCTCGATTCCGCTGCTGCTGCTGCTGCCGCCCTCGATGTCGCTGCGCCTCTCGCTTCCTCCGCCGCCGTCTCCTCCATCGTACGCCGTCGCCGGCTCCCCCCGCGCCCATCCCTCCGCACCGTCTGTGAAACCCTCCCCAACACTCCCCTCTTCTGGTTCCCCGCTCTCCTTTCTCCTGCCCCCCGTCTCCCATTGCGCTGCATGCTCCTGCCTCTCCCCGCGCACTTCCGCGCGGATCTCGTCCCCCTCTCCCCCGCGTGCGTCCAAGTGCGCACGTCCCGCTGGAGCTGTGTCGTGAACCCACCGCGTGCCCGCCGCCTCTTGCGCGGTTTGACCGTTCGTTCCACACTCCTGCCTACTGCGTTCCCTCGCCGCTCCCGCAGTCCCCATCCCCGCCCCTCCCGCTCTGCCTCCGCCCCCGGCGTCGCCCCGCATAGTCTCCCCTGAGCGCTCCTGTCGCCTTGCGCCACTCGCCATCGCGCCTCTCACCGGCCGCCCGACCTCCTCGTCCGCATCCACCTCCTCCACCACCACCACCTCTTCTACCCACGTCTCTTCACCCGCCTCCGCCCCCTTCCCCCCTTGCACCGCGCCTTTCTCCGCGCGACCGGACCACATGCGCCACCCCGCCGCCAGCATGGCCTGCAGCGGCGTCTGCTCCGCAGCAGGCGGAGGGCCTGCGGCAGCCGCCATGGGTCGGCGGAACTTGTGCACGGCCGCCCCTGTTGCGCGCTTCGTCCCTGCTTCCGCCTGCGGTTGGACACGTGGGTCCGTAGTCGCAGGCGCAGGCGCAGGCGCTGCTCTTGAAGCCGCCTTATTCTCCCGCTTCTCTCTTCCTACAGCGTACGTCGCCACACCCGCGTCGCCACCCTGCGCCCCTCGTCCACTCTCTCGGTTGCGCGCGGCTCCCCATGAGTCGCGAAAGCCCCCAGAGCCAAGCCCCCACGTGTCATCCGCCAAACCCTGGGGAGCACCATACACTTTGCGCGCCCCCCCCCCATTCACTCTCTCCGCAGCCCCAAACAACGGCTCCCTCTGTTTGGCAACGGCCGCTTCCTCCGCTGCAGCAGCGGGGACGCTGGGTGGGGGCGACGGAGGCGGAAAGGTGGGAGCAGGGGTGCGGGGGGGATCGGCGTGCGGTCGGGCGAAGTGAGTTGCGCCCGGTGTGAGGTCCGCCTCCGTCGCTACCGCCACGTACTCCTGCTCCGCTTCTTCCGCCTCCCATTCCCGCTCCCCCCGCCCTGCCCCCTGCTGCTCTCGCTGCGTCTCATGGTACTGCTCCGGGTGTTTTTGCTGCTGTTGCTGCTGTGGCGGCGGCCGCCTTGGAGGTTCCGAGACGAGGGGGGCATGCGCAGCGGGATCCGTGTCACCGCCACGCTCAGCGCCTACTGCCGGGCCGTTGCCTTCATGCCGCGCGTCCCCTGCGCCCTCCTGCTGCCTGTCCCCCTCACCTTGTGCTCCCGGCCACCCGTGCGCTTCCTCCGCCCCCAACCCCTCCCGCGCCGCCTCGTCGAACTGACGTTGCAGAGTGGGTACGGGTATCTCGCGCGCCCCACAGCCCCCTGACCCCTGGCTGCTGCCTGCGTCCTCCCAACTGCCGTTGCCGCTCCCGCTGCCAGCCACCGACCCGCTTCGCTGTTTCCGAGGCTTGCGAAACTGACCCTTGCTGCGGCTTGCGCGCAACAGCGCGCCCTTAGAACCGGCGCTGCGGCGCAGAGATTCGCCGAGAGAGAAAGGAGGAGGGCCGGAGGGCGGAGGGCTGTGAAGGGACGGCCGGCTGTTGCGCAGGAGGGAGGGCGCGTTGGGGGCGGCCGATCCCAGGTAGAAATCCGTGTCGTCTATGTCCGCCCCCTGCGCTGCGAGGTGGTGGATGAGCGCCAACTTGGCCTCGTGGTAGTCCGATGGCGAGATGCAGTGCGACTCGAACAAGTCCTGTGGAGGTGCGGCGCGGAAGGGCGGAAAATTGGAAGGGCGTTGACTGGTGGGGATCAGTAGAAGAGACGAAGTAGAAGATTAACGAACAAGGCAGTAGCCGATAGCGATGCACGACGAGGGAGGGAGAGAGAGAGGGGGAGGGGAGAGAGGCGATGGCGGGCACCTGAATAAAGACGAGGTTGCTGCGCGTGAGCTGCGGCCATTGGTCATGCGCGGTGCTGGCGAGCACGTCTCCCAGCAGCTCGCGCGTGAAGGCGGCGTACTGGTGGCGCGGCAGCAGCCCCTCGTCCACCATGCCGCGCATGAGCAGCGCGGAGTGGAACTGCGCCTGCTGGTGCTTTATCAGCCGCGCTAGCTCCTTGTTCTGCACGCACGCGGGACACATGGGCGCATCGCAGCAATGGCACTCAGCGAATTGGGCCCGGACGATGACAAGCAGCTAGCTAATGAGTGATTCGGGCTTTGACATGTGCGTTTAATGATCGGGAGAGTGTCATGCAAAAGATAAGCCGAGCGTAGCGGTGCTGCGATGACCTTCGCCATGGCAACTTGTGTTTCAGTCGTCGCTGCGTACTGCCTGATTGACATACAACGCCTGTTCGCTACAGCCTCCGACATCTATGGATCGAGGTATTGCCACTGATTTCCTTGACTCCGCGTATCCTTGCGCATCCCTATGTGCTTAATATCATTAACGAAGGAGCGAGATCAAGCCGGAGCGCACCTTCTTGCCAGCAGGAGAAAGGCTGTTGGTGCGGACGAAACATTTCCGCAACCGATGGAACCGAAATCGAAAGCGAACCATGACTGTCCTTAAATTTATAATATCAAACGGCGGGAAGCTGTCAATCTAGAGTGTTCAGGAAAAGTTGACCGTTCACGCGTCACAAACGATCGATTGCGGTTCATGAGGTAAAGGAGCGAGGTAGTCTTGCTCTAGTTCAGGCTTCTTTCTATTCAAAAGCGTCAAAGAAACTAAGACACGAAGCACTAATGATGAACTAGAGAGGAGTAGAGGATCAACAGCGGATGAAATTACGAGAAGTGAAGACTTGATTGCGTGATCTGGGAGTTGGACTGGTGAGTGTGGGAGAGTTGAGTGAAAGAGAGTCGAAGATACTAGAGAAGCTAAGGCACCACACTACCATCAACAAACTCACTCACCTTTGGCGCGAATCGCACCCGCAGTGACTCGAACTCCACTGGGCAGGCAGCACCTTGCAATAGACAGCAATGAACTCTCGAGTCGGGGTTCAAATTTTGGCGCCAGAATGGAGCGCAGCCAATCAGATCCTACAAAGGTGTCACTTCTGACGCCTGCTGCGAAAATCTAACGCAACCTTTCAGCTTCAACTCACTACCCCCCTATAAACTCCAACAACTGCAGTCATGGTATTATTGTTTCTATTCAATCTTATGATAGCCTCTGCACTCATCACTTTCCATCCACTTCTAGGTGTTGCATCTTGTGTGTATATACTTTAAACTCTAATCTCTTTGTCATTTTAAACTATTTTTCATTGCAGGGCATTTAATTTTGACTTAATCAAAGATAATTATTTGATTTCTTGAAAAAAAACACCAATGCAGTGCGTACATGAGTTGGTTTTATTGATAATAATCCAATTTGTTACCGTAAGAATTCTACCGGACTAAAACAAAAAGGCTTATTTTCTTAGTGAATAAACAAATACTCATTATTGCGTGAAATTTCTATGTAGGGTCCGAGGTACACATACCAATTCATTAGTCCTACTTGAAAATGGAATCGAAAAATGAGCAAACGTGCAGTTACAATCTTGTGAAATACAAATATGCATGTTAGTCTACAATGAGGCACACACTAGAGAGGATACACAACTTTCTCGACATTCCTATTTGTACCTTGTTTCCTATTAGTCGAATCATTCCGCTAGCCTACTCTTGAGATGGTATAAGTTCCTAGGCCTAGTTAGTTCCTAAATCGCCCTAGTTCTTAGTTTCCCTCCCCTCCAGCCCTCACGTCCCTCCTAGTCCTCCAGTCCGCACGCCCTAGCCAGCTAGGTCGTGCGCCCGTGCGTTTGTTAGCAGCAGGCGAAAACGCGACTGCAGCCACTCACGCACGCATAGGCAGCGCGCGAGCAGCAGCAGTCGAGCGCACACGCACAGCCGCACGCGAACGCATAGCCGCGCGCGCATGCACAACCGCGCCCACACGCACAGCTGCAGCCGCACGCGTGCACCTGCCTGCTGGCCGCACGCCCACAGGCCACAAGCGCACGCCCAGCCGCTGCGTGCACGCACAGCAGCGGCGCACGCACGCACAGACAGTGCCGCACGCACGGCAGTCAGCGCGCCTGCGGCAAACGCATACGCAGCAGCAGCGCTAGCGCCCGCAGCCGCCAGCAGCAGCCGCAGTGCTAGCGTCTGCAGCCGCCAGCAGCAGCCGCATTGCTAGCGCCTGCAGCCGCCAGTAGCAGCCGTATTGCTAGCGCCTGCAGCCGCCAACAGCAGCAGCGCTAGCGGCCAGCGGCATGCCTCAGCAGCCACGAACGCGCAGCGTTGCGCATGCCACGCTCCGCCTGCTGCCCGCACGCAACAGCGCACGGCTGCATTACACGCAGCCAACAGAAGCGCTAGCACGGGCCGCACGAGCTGGACCTTACCGCCAACAGCAGACACCAACCGCCCACACCTCATCCTAGCCGCCCACAGCCTCTTCCTGCCGCCCACAGCCTCTCCCAGCCACCAACAGCCCTTCCTAGCTGCCCACCACCGCCTACTTCCGCCTATTTTTTGCCTACTACCGCCCATAGCCGCCCGCAGTACCACCAGTGCCCATTGTCTTGTGCACGCCTCCTGCCTTTGGCATCCCTAATGGCGGCGGGCAGCCACAGTCACTTTTCCTAGCATAGTTTTGGTTTTGTGCCCCGACTGGCGTTCCTAGCCTGTCTTTCCTAGCCGACTGTTCCTAGGCTGGTGTTTATTTGTCGGTAGTTCCTAGTATCGCTCTAGCTGTTCCTTGCTCTAGCCGTGCCTTTCTCCAGCCGCTCCTACCTCCAGCCACTCCTGGCTCCAGCCGTATCTAGCTCCAGCCGTGCCCTGCTCCAGCCGCTCCTACCTCCAGCCACTCCTAGCTCCAGCCGTGTCTAGCTCTAGCCGTGCCCTGCTCCAGCGGTGCCTTGCTCCAGCCACTCCTAGCTCCAGCTGTGTCTAGCTCCAGCCGTGCTTTGCTCCAGCCGTGCCTTGCTCCAGTCGTGCCGTGCTCCAACCATGCCTTGCTCCAGCCGTGCCTTGCTGTAGTCGTGTCTTGCTCCAGCCGTGCCCTACTCCTAGCTCCGGCCACTCCTAGCTCCAGCCGTGCCTAGCTCCAGCCGCGCTTTGCTCCAGGCGTTCCTCGCTTCAGATGCTTCTGGCTTTAGCTGCTCCTAGCGCCAGTAGTTCCTAGCCTAGCAATTCCTCATTCTGGCCGTGTCTAGCTCCAGCTACTCCTAGCCTGCCGCTCCTACACCCAGCTAGCCTTCACCATGGCGTCCACTAGGGTTCTCTAGCAGCAGGGACAGCAGCAGCAGCAGTTTCAGCAGTGGGAGCCTCAGCAGCAGTGGCGCCCTCAGCAGCGGTGGCGCCCTCAGCAGCAGTGGGGGCCTGGTGGTTCGGGTAGTGTTGGCTGCAGTAGCAGCCCAGCCGGCTGGGGGGCTCGTCGCGGTGGCCGCGACGTCGGCCCCTGCCAGTATCGGATCTTGACTAGCCCTGGTGCTGGCACTACCTGCTGGCGTCTTGACCACTCTGCACAGCGCTGCTACAGTCGCCTCAACGACCTCTACCGTGAGTGGTTTGGGTCTGGGTCGAGGCCACCGGTCTTGCCCGGCCTGTCCCGTAGTGGTTACCCTGTGTTTGATATGTCTATGGATGTTGCTTATTCTGTTACATATGGGTCTCTTGGCTTGCGTGTACCTAGCTTAGGACCTTTGCATGTTGCTAGTGTAGGTACTTGTGCTTTTAGTGTAGGTGCTTGTGTAGTCACTAGTCCAGCCGTGACGACTGCTGTCGCGTCGCTCTCCTTCACGCTGGACTCAGGCGCGTCTCAGCGTTTCTTCCACGACCACACCACTGTCATACCTCTTTCGGCTCCAGTCCTAGTTTCTCTGGCTGATCCTAATTCAGGACCAGCAGTCGCTCGCAACTCGAACACTCTCCCGTGCCCGGCTGTCCCTTCTGGTTTCCTCACTGGTCTCTACAACCCCTCGTTCTCTCGGAACTTGGTGGGTGTTGGATACCTTCAAGACCGTGGGATCACAGTCACTTTTCCTGCGCACGAGAGGACGGCGATCTGTACGGACGATTCCACTGGAGCACTTCTTGCCACGTTCACCAGGGAGCCCTACTCAGGTCTCTTCGTTCTGCACACTGCGTCCCCCCAGGTAGCAGAGTCCGGTCAGGTTACTGCGTCCCCTCAAGTTGCTGTGTCCAGTCAGGTTGTTGTGTCTGGTCAGGTTGCTGCGTCTGGTCTGGTTGCTGCGTCTTGCTCTTGTCGGTCACTCTCCCACTCGACAGTCTTGTGGCATCACCGTCTAGGTCACCCGTCCATCCCACGCCTCCGCAGCATGGCTAGCTAGTGTCTTGTCTCATGTCTCCCTCGCGTCTTTGCGTCGCTCCCTCCCTCCCCCGTACTGCCGTGCACTCCTTGCGTCGCCGGCCGCCTGCGCGCCACTCCGCACTCCTCCTCCCTTCGTCCGGCCACTGCTCCCTTCCAGACTCTCCACTTGGACGTCTGGGGCCCTGCCCCTACGCAGAGACCTGAGAGGGAGCGCTACTTTCTGGTGGTCGTCGATGACTAATTCCAGGTACACCACAGTGTTTCCTATCGCAAAGAAGTCCGAGGTGACTTCTACGCTGATCCGGTGGCTTCTGGCAACTAAGGGCACTCGTGGTCGTAGTGTCTCCTGTCTCCACTCCGACCGTGGGGGCGAGTTTTGCTTCGGCATTCTTCGCGGATTCTGCGGCAAGCAGGGCATCTCATAGTCCTGGACGCTTCCGGAGCTCCCACAGCAGAATGGGGTTGCTGAGCGCCGCATTGGCTTGGTCATGGACATCGCCCGCACGTCTATGATTGATGCTAGTGCGCCCCATTTTCTGTGGCCCTACGCGGTTCGCTACGCCGCCCACCAGCTGAACCTCCAGCCGCGTGTCTCGAGGCCAGAGGCTTCACCGACCAGTCTTTGGACCGGGTCCCCTGGTGTTGGGTCGGCCTTTCATGTCTGGGGCTGCCTTGCGCTTGTCCGCAACACCTCTGCGGACAAGCTCTCGGCTCGTGCCATCCTCTGTGTCTTCCTTGGTTTCCTGGTGGACTCTCCTGACTACGCCTTTTACCACCCGCCCCTCCACCAGTTCCTCGAATCCCGTGAC